CCCCCCCATTCTCCAAAATAACACTGCTTCCTGCTCAGAACCAGAGGACAGCAGTGCCCCTGTTGCTCACCTTCCTTAGGAAGTGGGTAATTTCAGAAAGTGCTGGGCCCCATCTTACCAGGTTATAAGGCCGCACTCATCACAGAAGAGGCTTTGAGAAATGAAATGACCAGTCCAGGAAAGACAGAGACGTGGCCTGGATCTGAGGGTTGGGGTCTGTGGGGTCCTGGGGCTTGAACGGGCTTACTCTTTGGTGCTGGGCCAGGGCTATTCCCACTGCAGGGAAAGCTAGCCCTTTGAAGATAAGAAAGGTTGCTCCCTCCCAGGACCAGGCCGGGGGGAGGCTTCTGCCAGTCTTAGGAACACCCAGACTTCAAGTTGCAGGCTGGCACAGCAGAGGGAGCTGCTTGTGAGTAATGAGTTCCCTTGGCTAGATGTGGCAGTCTTTCTGTTCTACAGTCTTTCTTGTAGATGTGCAACAAGAGATAAGGGAGATAGAGTCAGCTGGGGGCTTACATCTTGGCTTGGGGGTTACCTGGGCTGGTTGGCACTGGGCATGTGCCTGCCCCCAGGCCCTCAGTGTTCTCATCTGTATAGTGAGGTACATTGGCCTCTGAAGGAGTTGCTGAGGTCCCTTCTCAGGCTTTGGTCTTTGACCTGGTGTTTCGAGGGAAATGTCCAAAATCCAACAGATAGGTGCTCTGTATAGTTAGTACTAGACGACTGTGGTCTGGTTGGCCCTTTGGTCACAGGTGATGGAGAAGTGGCGAGGCCCACTATGGCCATGTCAATAGGAAGCCATTGGGGTGAATGCCACTAACAAGCATGGAAAGAAGGAAAAACAGATTAAGACCACATGCTCAGACCCAGCCCTGTGAGAGACGGTGCGTGTGGGCAGGAGGTAGGAGGGAACTGCCAGCCACTCTGCTGTCCAGCGTCCCCCAACCTCCTGTACCTGCAGCCTTGCCCTGCAGTCCTCCCCACCCTCTGGTGTGGGCACTGAGATGAGATGTCCTGTGTTGTGCCCAGGAGGCAACTGTGGCTTGTTTTACACAAAACTGTGGTGGGGAGAGAGGGCACGGCTGGAGGGAGGAGGAGCCTCCAAAGCAAGGTGGACCCTCTTTCCTGGGGTGGCTACAGCAAGACCTCCACATTCCAGGATACCCACCCTGCCCTGCCCAGTCTCCATTTCCCCCTGCTCCACCCTCCGTGTTTCTCTCCCCGCCATTGCCTCATTTCTCTGAAATGGGAAGTACAAGTTTGGGGATGGATGGACGACCACTTTGCCATTTAGGACAAAGCACTGTTCCTCCTGTGGGGTACAGAAGAGAGCAGCATCCTGGGGTTCAGGAGAGCCCTCTCTCTGGCGTTCAGCCTCCTCATCTCCAATGGAAGGTTGATCTAATGGAGCTTAGAGTCACTTGGTCTGGGGCTCACTCTGTGTGGGAGTCTGCCCAGCACGGCATCTGCTGGACTCCTTCCAGAAGCCGAGGCACCTTACCTCCCAGGGGCCCATTGCTTCGTCGAAGGATCGTAGCCATTAGAACCTACACTTCTTTATCCTCTATTCTGTAATATTTATTAAGGTTTCACACTGGTCCAGTGTCCCTCTGAGGGCCATCAATTGATGCAGTGGTGCAGCTTTAACTGTATCCTTAGCGGCGACTAGTGCCATCAATGGGTACTCCATCTTGGCAGCTATAACTGCCACGTGCCCAGCACCATGACAAGCACTGTGCATTGCTCATCTCACATAAGCTTCGCCACCCCCTTAATGTGTGCCTGTCTCCATTTTGCATGGAGGAGGCCCAGGCTCGGGAGCTAACATGCCAACGGTAGTCAGTTTGTCTATGGTAAAACAGACCCAAGTCCCAGTGGGCTGTCTCTCTCCAGCCCAGGCTTGCAGGCTCTATGTCTTCCCCTGAGAAATACCTGGTCTCAGTTACCCTGTCTGTAAAATGGGATAATTCCACCTGCCTGTTGGATTTATTATAAGCTTTAAGCAAGATCGTGCATTGAAAGCACCTAATGTATAGTTTTGGGCACCCAGCTCTGGCTTGGTAAATAGTGGCCAACCCCTCTTATAGTGGGCTCTGCTCCTTAGCACGCCTTTCCCCTGTGTCCCCAGCAAGGCCACCAAACCTCTCTGGGCCTGTACCCTCTTATCACTGGAGCATGGGGCTAGAATCCCTGCTTTAGATGAGGGATGCTTTGGCCACAGTGAGGTCAGAGGTGAAAAGGACCTTTCCCTCCAGGCCAGGGAGCACTGACCTGGGCTGCTGGCATCAGGCTTTGTACGGCTCCAGCTTCCTCGCTCTCCCCACCGCTCCTCCAGTCCTGCCTCCCTCGCGTGTAATTAAGCTCACAACGTCTAGTGTAAGCAAATAATAACAAGGGCATTATCTCCCTTTCGTCTGTGTTTTTTCTTGCCTATCATAAGGTAATTAAAATAATGAATGCCTTGTAAAACAATAGGTAAGAGGGCTGGCAAGAGAGCATTATCTGCCATAATACCGCTTGTGCTGTGAATTATTGATGCATTGAAACCACTGTGACTGGAGAGGACTTCCTGCCTCCCAGCCCTTTTCATGCACGCTGACTCCCTCCTCCAGGGTCGGCCACGCGGGGCTGGGAACCTGAGCCCCCAAGGTTGAGGAGCAGAGAGCTTGCCCTCCAGCTCCCACCCCCGCCCCCAGCCATGGCCCTGGACCAGTTCAGAAATGTCCCTGGGAGGCACTGCCCAGAAGGAAACACAAGAGCTTCTGATTTGAGAGCCCTCTTCCTGCCCCATCTCTTCCTTGTCCACCCCGTGTTCCTACTTCTGAAAGAAGGTGGTGGTTCCGTGCCTGGGTAAAGGGAGAGGCTGGAAAAGGGCTGGGTGTTAAGATCCATGTGTCTCATTTCAGATCAGGGCAGAGATGATCAAGCCATGCCCAGAGGATTAGAACAATGGTTCTCGAAGTGGGGTTCCCAGACCAATAGCATCAGCATCACCTGGGAACTTGTTACACATGCAGGTTGCGGGGTGGGGCCCAGCACCCTATGTTAACAGGCCCTCTCAAATTTGAACCACTGCTAGGGTGCTAGTGGCTGGAGAAGAAGCGGGGGCTGTGGGACTAAATAACTGAACATGTATTATGTGCTGTCGGGCATGGTTTAATACCCACGATGCCTCTGGGCAGGCAGTATGCCCCATCTTGCAGGGGAGGTCTGCCAGGGACAGGAGAGCTGAATCTATACCTTCAGTTACTAAGGCTACCCCTGGATCAGGGTCTCCTTTTCTTCCAGGACACCCATTTGTGCAGACTCCGCATGGCCAAGACTCAGGGTCCTACCAGGCCACTGAGACTGGCCGTAGGTGGCTTGGGCAGAGGGCTCCCCAAAATACCCACCCTGTGCCTCATCCCCTCCCCTAGCCTCCTCTTGGACTATGGAAATAAAACACAATTGGAAATAAAACAGGAGCACCCGGTGTTGCTGACCCTGCTTCCCAGCTTCGCCAGCCAGGGGTGGGGGCCGGGGGAGAACCAGGCCTCAGGAGCAGCTTCCTGTCCGCTTGCAAGGAAGGGATGACTCATCCAGCGCCCCCAGCTCGCCTTTCCTCACTCTGCTTCACCCCCACTCACTGCGGACAAAGATTTTCCCTGCTGCCCCCTTTGATTTTTACCCTTTACTCCAATTCATAATGATCCCCAAGGTCAGTTTACTTTGGAAATTAATTCTAGCATTTTAAATGATGAACATAATTTTGCTGGTATCTTTTAAAACATCTGTATCTGCAAAAATAATCTCAGTGAGTAATTGAGTAAGGGGCTCAGTGAAATTTAAGTTTTCAGTGTCCTGTATTTTACTCAGCAACTCTAAGCTCAGGTTCCATAGTCATCACACCATTCATTCATTCATTCATTCATTCATTCATTCATTCATTCATTCATAGTTATTGAACCAGTTATATGGCAGGAGCTCTTTTAGGCACTGGGGATACAGCAATTGGGGGAAGCAGACAGTAAATGAAATAAGTAAGTGAATTACAGAGTGTATTAGAGTTTTTAAGTGCTATGGAGAAAAATAAAGCAGACAGGCGGTGCTGTCAGAAGACAGGGTTGCCATTTTAAAAGGGTAGCCAGAGAAGACCTCATTTGAAAAGGTGATATTTGAGCAAAGACCTGAGGGAGGTGAGGGAGCAAGCTGTGACCCTTTGTGGGAGAAGAGTATTCCAGGCAGAGGGCACACTGTGTGCAAACGACGGCCCAGTGCAGGGCTTAGTTATCTGATGATGGCGACCTTGTTTCCTCGAGCACATTTTAAGCCATGCAGGGGAATGTATTGTCTCCCATAACTGAAAAGGTCTGGTGTGGACTTCAGGCACAGCTGGATTCAGGTGTTTCAATGATGATGTCGGTGTTCTATCACAGCTACTTTTCTCTGTGGCGCCTCCATTCTCAGGGAAGGATTACCTTTCCTGCTCTTGCCACCAAAAGTCCCCCGCTTGGATTTGTATTGGGTTGACATGGGTCATGTGACTGTCGCTGGCTCAGTCACTGTTGCCAGGGGGATAGAATGATATGACTGACCAGTCCCCACTCCCGGGCCAGCGTAGGCCTCTCAGTCCCTTTTGGACCACACAGATGGAGATGAGGAAATGGTGGTTTCCTTCAAGGAAAGACTGGGCACTCCCGTGAGACGGGTGCGGAGGTTTGGCAGCAGAGACCCAGACAGGACGCTGTCCTCTTGAGCTTTGTTTCTTTAAATCAGGAAGAGAATAATTTCATTCTTCTTTCACAGAGCTATTTTAAAATGAAATAAAGAAAAGGTTCTTTTTAAAAAAGATGAAAAAAAATGAACAAAGCCATAATCCATCCTTTCTGCCCTACGCCTGTACCTTCAAGCCAGCTCCCACCTTAGACGAGGACCCTTCCAGCTTTGATTCTCTTGGATAGCTTGTGTTTCTAAAATCCAGTTGGTCTCTATGTCTCAACCCTTGTTCTCTCTGTTGCCAGGAGGCCCAGAAGATTAACAATGGCTCAAGCCAGGCGGATGGGACTCTCAAGCCAGTGGACGAAAAAGAGGAGACGGTGGCAGCCGAGGTCGGCTGGATGACCTCTGTGAAGGACTGGGCCGGGGTGATGATATCTGCCCAGACACTGACCGGCAGAGTCCTGGTGAGTCCTAATTTCCTCCTCACACGAGGGGGCTTCTGTCTGATCCATAATTGCTTTGTTTATAGGGATGTGGTGTTTCATGGGGTCTTCTCCAGGACACTGGCTACTGGGAGGTAGGGTGAACAGGGGGTGCTTACGTATGTTCATGGAGAAGAGGCTGGGTTTGTGCACATCTAAGCCAGTGGTTTGTGGAGAGATTTGCAGAGTGGGCCACTGTCCAGGGCACAGAGGGCCTGTTGGGACAAGGACCCAAGGAGTTCTGAGTGAGTGTGTGTGTGTGTGTGTGTGTGTGTGTGTGTGTGTGTGTGTGT